CCCAGCCCCCCAACCCACCACAGGGCCTCCCCCGAACAACTCCTGCATGGAGCCCCCCCCAGCCCCGGACCCCGCCAACAAGCCCCCCATGGAGCCCCCAGCCGTCCCCGCCCAGCTCTGCAACCTGCCACGGCCCCCCCACACAACCCCTCCTCGGAGCCCCCCCCCTCAGTTTCATGCCCAGCACCTTGGGGACCAGGCCCTTCCATGCCCACCCCGCTCTGTCCCCCGCCCCTTTCCGCTGTGCCAGCCCCCCAGCCTCCTGCCACACCCCCTCCCCAGTCCTGCCTGCCCCCCTGCACCCTTCGTTCTGCCAGCCCCCCTCCTCCCCCCAGTGCTGCCAGCCCTCTCACCAGCACTGTGCGTCGACCCCTCCCCGTCAGTGCCCAGCACCTCGGTCTCTGGGGCGATCACTGCCTCCGGCCTCGACTGGGGCCCCTCCTCCTTCACCTGGGTCCGGGGGGCTCCGGGCGAGTTGGGGGGCGGAGGCTCCCCATCCTCTGGGGGCAGGGAGAGAGCTGGGTTACTGGGGGCTTCGCCATTGGGGCGTGTGTCTGCAGCTGCCTAGACACGTGGGTTCCTCTGTGGGGGCTGTGACTGGGGGGAAGTGCCCGGACGCCTGGGTCCCTCAGCACAGGAGCTGACATCAGGGAGTTGGCCTGTAGCTGCCCGGACGCCTGGGTCCCTCAGCAGGGGAGGTATGACATGGGTGTGGGGGGTGCCTGTAGCTGCCCGGATGCCTGGGTCCCTCAGCAGGGGAGGTATGATATGGGTAGGGAGGGGACGGGGGCACATGTAGCTGCCCTGACGCCTGGGTTCGCCAGCAGGAGGCACTGTGATGTGGTGGGGCTGTAGCTGCCCGGACGCCTGGGTTCGCCAGCAGGAGGCACTGTGATGTGGTGGGGCTGTAGCTGCCCGGACGCCTGGGTTCGCCAGCAGGAGGCACTGTGATGTGGTGGGGCTGTAGCTGCCCGGACGCCTGGGTTCCCCAGTAGCTCCCCCAAACTCCCCGTGCGCCGGTCACTCACCCAGCGGCAGGTCAGAGCCCACGGTGCCCGGCGTGGCCATGTCAGGATCTGGGGATTCCCAGCTCCGCAGGGACCCGGCGCTAGGGACAGAGACAGACAGACAGATGGGGTGTCACATTCCCCAGCCACCACCCCCTCCCCCGGGGCACTGAGGCCACCAGGCGACTGGGGAAGCTCCCCCCATCCCCCCACCCATTGCCCCCAGAACCCCCCATCTCACCATGTTCCCCGCGGGGACGGGGCTCAGCCGGCCCGGGCCCACATGCTGCTGGCTGCCTCCTGGGCGCGGGGACCAGCCGGGGGGCTCTGAGAGGGAGCCGGGGGGGGGGGGTTAGAAGGGGGGGCTGGGGCAGGTCGGGGGCAGGGAAAGGGTTAGGGGGCGTCGTGGAGGAGGGGG